GCGTGGAACTCGCTGTGTCAGTCAGGCTGGTCTCAAACCCACAGAGATCCACCTGCCTCTGCTTCCTGAGTGATGGAATTAAGAAAGTGCCAAAAATACACTCTTAGCGAACTGCTTTTGAGGATCTATCATCATTGTGAAGTGTGTGTGTGTGTGTGTGTGTGTGTGTGTGTTCATTGCACATGGTTGTTCATGTAGGTGCATGTGGACAGCAGAGGTCAATGTTTGGTGTCTTTCTATGACCTGTCTCACTGAACCTGGAGCTTGCTGATTTGGCTAGACAGGCTGGCCTGGGAGCCTCGGGGATCCTCCTATCTCTTCCTTCCCAGGGCTGGGCTTTAAGGTGTGTGCTGCCATGCTGGGATTTTCACGTGGGTTCTGGGATGCATATTCAGCTCTCAGTACTTGTGTGGTGAGCATTTCACTTACTGAGCCATTTCTGCAGCCCCACACTCTACATTTCAACCCTTTCATCATCTTATGAGCATGTGAATTATTGCAAGTCCAGGAAAGCTTCTGTGATTTTTTATAAACAGTTCTCTGCATAGACAAAGGCTTTCATAAATATTGGAGTGGTTGAATATTTTTACTGCAAAAAGCCTGCTAGACTCTAGAAACAAACACTAAGTCCTCTGCCTTGTCTGGACATCTATAGACTTGAGTCTATGCACCTGATGGTTTAGTATGTTGTTATTTTTTAAACATGAATCTTTACTGACCACAGGTACTTGAGAGGGCTGAAGTGGTAGAAATGGGTGGCACTGGTGCCAGTCTGGCTATAACCAAGTCTCTCAGTCTTTTTAGACTACAAATAGCAGCACGGTTCCTTGCAGTGGGTCACAGATGACATGCTTTGTGTGTCAGGTAGGCTGATTTCTGTGGTGTCCCTGAGCACAGACAGCTGAGCACCCAGTCAAGGAATTGAGACCAACTGCCTTCTCTGTACGTCTCCAGGCTCTTCCTGTTTCAGATTTTCTCCTGGGATTATCCCCCAAACACACTTCCTGCCCCTCCAACTGCCTTGATTCTTATCATGAATTACCTTCATGGTCACATTTTTCTATCATTTTGTGGGTGACTTCAAGGGACCAAGGCTGATGGACACAAGGTTAATTGGCTGAGGAAAAAGACCATGTAGTTCCCACCAGCATGGCTCCCTTCCTCAGGGACCCAGTTTCCTCCAGAGTCTGCCAATTTTCAATTTTAATTTGATTTATTCTTACCATCCTGAAATGTATCCAAAGTAATTTAAAAAATTAATCCATACTTTCAGGAGTTTTCTACTGGGACATGGTAGTCCCACACAAACAACTTGTTTTTTTCCCACCAGGAACTTTCTCATCTGAATTTGACATGTTTTATCAACCCACCTGCATACCTTTGTCTTTCTGCTTGGATTTTATTTGTCCTCTCTACCTATGCTCTTCCTTTGGCCTTTTTGATTTTCTCTGTTAATCAGGATTTAATAAAATCATTCTATTTTCCCAAAGGACTTGGAGTGCTTACGTAATTTCTAGTGTATTTAAGAGATTTCAACATGCCCCTTTGAGTCATCATTTTTTACTCTCTCTCTCTCTCTCTCTCTCTCTCTGTCTGTGTGTGTGGTGTGTTGTGTGTGTATGTGTGTAATGTGCACACATATATGAACTCTCATGCTACTGAGTATGTGGAGAAGAGAAGACATTTTTGTTTTGTTTTTCAAGACAAGGGTTTCTCTGTGTTACACTCCTGGCTGTCCTGGAACTCACTTTGTAAATCAGACTGGTCTTGATTTTTTTTTTTTTTTTTACCCCTTGGACAATTTTTAAGAAAAAAATATTTATATTTACTTTAGGTACATTAGTGTTTTCCCTGCATGTATGTTTGTGTGAGGGTGTCAGATCCTCTGGAACTGGAGCTATGGACAGCTGTGAGCTACAATGTGGGTGTTGGGAATTGAACCCCCTGGGGTCCCTGGAAGCACAGCCAGTGCTCTTAACCACTGAGCCACCTCTCCAGCCCCCTAGAACACAATTTGATGGAGAGTCAGTTCTTTCCTTCAATGTAGTTTCCAGGAACTGAACTCAGGGCATCTGCTCAGAAACAAAGTCGATACCTCCTAAGCTTATAAAATTATACTACATTTTAATTATCTCACATGTTTGTTGTGGTTAGCTTTGCCAGGTAATTTCAATTTTAAGTTATTTTATTCATATACTATAAATTATTATTTTTGTAGACTACTTATTCATCTAGCTCCTCCTTTTTTATACTTTCTTACGTTTCTGTTTTATCATTTAGGGATAATTTTTTTCTACTTAACATCTACCTATGATATTCTGTAGTTTTAAAACTGGTGACAGCTTCTCAAAATTATATTTTCCCTCTTATTTTATTTTTATACTGAGGACTATTTTTGCAGACTATTTTTTCTGTGTTGTCAAGTATTTGACATATTTAAAGCACATTGCTTCTTTAAAGGTTTACTTCATTTTCCTGTTAGATACCTAATTACTTTGTTCTTGTCTGTTTTTTCTAGACTCTAGATGCCTCTGGTTTCATGGTCTTGGTTGCTCTCTGATGCTTCATTCTGATTGAAAATAAAAATTATTCAGTTTCTTTTTCATTTGTTCCTACAAGGAAGTTATAAGTTAGTATAGGGTTTTAGAAATATAAACCCTACATGTGTAGATATATACTATACACACACATGTGTATGTTTATTTGTATATATATGCATCTTCAGTATATATATTTCATTTTATGTGTATAAGTGTTTTTTCCTGCATGTATGTTTGCATACCACTTGCATGCCTGTGCCTAAGGAGATATCAGATTGCTTAGAACAGTAACTACAGATGGTGTTGAGCCATCATGTGGATGCTGGGAATTGAACCCTGGAACTTTGGAAGGTTCAGAAGAGCAACAAGTGCTCTTAATCAGTGAGCCACTGAGATATCTGAATATATATATATATATATATATACATATATATGTATATATATATATTTTTTTTTTTTAAATTCGTTGAGAATTTCATAGTGCACATAATGTATTTTTATCATAGCCACTCTCACACTATGACTTCTAACTCCTTTAAGACCCAGCCCATTCATTTTCCAACTTCATGTCCTGGTTTTAATTTTATTTTTTTGTGACCCACTGAATCCAACTGGTATTGCCCATAAAATCATGGATATGGGACTATCTTTTACAGCTTCTTAGACCTACCAGGGGCCACACCCTTAAAGAAAGCAACCCTTCTTACAAAACCCACTGGCTGTCAACAGCTCCCCAGCTAGTGATATGGTCTAGGGACACATCCTGCCCATTGTTGATTGGTGTGTGTGTGTGTATGTGTGTGTGTGTGTGTATGTATTTAATTAAATACATGCATATATATTTCTTTTAAAATATATTCTTGTGACTGATAAATAGAAATTCTTATGATTTATTCTGTAGGATTTCCAAGCAACACATCAGAGCAGAGACGATTTTAAGTAACTTACTGAATACTTTGTCTGCCTCAACCTTTATCGCTAGTTTAAATTTTTCACCAAGTGTGCATGAACACCTGTGTCTAATATGCAGTGTTTGCTCTTTCAGTGGGTGCTATTGGACTGAGGAAGTTCTTTTCTGAAAGAAACACATCCCTGTTTTTACACACTTAGAAGGTGAGCTGCCTCAAAAGGCCTTTTTTTGATTCTTCAGGGTAGTTACATGATTTTTAAAAATGCATTTTCAGGTGTGATGGGTTACATTAACATATTTTCTAAAGTCAAAGCATATTACCATTGATGGCTGAAATTCAGCTGGGTTATAATGTAAGTCACAATTTCCGTATGACTCTGCTGTTGGTGAGACTATAAATTAATACAGTCATTTTTGGAAGCATATGTTGCTGTCTTGTTTGTCTGCTCTGTTTTAAACTGTATCTACTTGGATTTTAGATCCAGGTAATTCACTGTGTGTAGATCACAAAAAATCTCTCACTCAGGCCCATAAAAAAGTCCTATGTAATTCTGTATGTGAATAACATGGACATTAGTATGTATTACTAGTTTAAAAAATAGTTAAGAGTATCTTCTGGAAGACCCAAGCTGGCGTTCAGAGGCAATGCCCCCAGGCACTAGTTGAGGGGGAGTGCTAGAGTAAAGACAGTCACAGCATGGTAAATCTTCCCCATGATTCTTCGTGGATGCTAAACACACCCACAAAGCAAAACACCCAAAGACAAATTTTAAAACGATGCCTCTGCTTTTCTGACTTAAGAGGACAACCTTCTACAGAATGACACCAGTCCAACAGGATGACGCCCTCCCTTTAGAAAGCTTTCCAGAGTAATCCTAAACCACAAGGAACTTTCTCACACTCCAACGTCCCATGGCACATTCACACATATCCCATCACAATAATATCACATGAGAAAAACCAAGCTAAGCAGCATGATCAACTACAAAGAAGTATTACTGGTATTTGTTGTGGGGCTTTTCCCCGGGTAGATGCTACAAGCATCTGCTCACGCTACATGCTACACAGAGAGCAGTCAAAGACACAATCCCTCCCAAGTCTATTTAAGTGAACCCATAATTCTGCTTGGGTTACTTACAGGAAGGAACATGGGTGGCTCAAAGGCAGCCACGTCACCAGGGAGCCCACCACAGCATGGGTGATGACGCTCTTAAACTGTGTCCCTGGAGCTCTCTGATCTGTCCTGCATGCTGTTTCACTGGGCCATCGGTTGTTTATAATACTTTTATAACTTTTGGGAGGAGCCTCGCAATCTTGTAGCTTTCTGGGATTCTAGAATGGTTTTCAGATTCTGGCCCTGAGTCCTAGGAACTCCCAGCTAGAAAGAAAGGTTTTAATCTGAAGGAAATAGTTACACCACACTTTGTAGCAGAACAACCCAAATATTGTAGGAAAAAAAAAAAAAAAAAAAAAAAAAAAAAAAAGTAAAAGCAAAGCACGAGGAGGCAGCAGGCTTTTTCTCAGTCCAAATGAAGCTCTTTGAAACTCACCTTCCTCCTTTTTGCCTATCTGAAATAGCATTTTCCGCTTCCACTTGAGGCTATAGTTGTCTGGCGAGATTCTTCTTCCTTCTGTGACCCATTTTAACGTTCAAAATTAATGTAGTTAACAATGAAAGCTTTGTATTTTTGCAGTGTGGCAAAAGCTTTGTGAACAAAGGAGAAAGAAGAGCAAGGAGGGGGGAGAAAGGGAGGGGAAAAGAGAGAGAGAGGGAGGAAGAGGGAGAGGGAGAGGGAGAGGGAGAGGGAGAGGAAGAGGGAGAGGGAGAGGGAGAGGGAGATGGAGAGGGAGGGATAGAATGCAGAGCAAGACCAGAAAGCAGAGCAGAGCAGAGCAGGAACCAGAACACAAAAGAGTAGTAGAAAAGAAAGACAGGAAGGAGATGACTTAACCATTTCCTCTTCTCTGCATTAGGTTCTTTCCTATTAAGGTTCTTTTTTTCTCAAGTCATTACAACACCCAGATGCGGGGGGGGGGGGCGCTAGAGATCTACCTTGATTTGGTGACAGATCCTAACAACTAGCAGCTGCTTCTTTGCTTGTGAACAGAAGCAAGGAACCTAATATCTACAGCAAAAGGGACCCTTGAATGTCTTAGGTCCAGTATGACAGTAAGATTACCAAATGGGGGATACTTAAATACAAATAAAAATTCAGTCGCCCCCCCCCACACACATACCCTGAGAGTAGGTAGTCTCTTAGCTCTGTAGTCCTTCCTCTCCTTGGGGGAGGGGTATCTGTAATGCTCGACAATGAAGTTTACTTTCGTTTGCTCTGAGCTCTTTTAATTCTTCAGTCTATGCACCAAAAGAAACCACATGCCAGCTGGCTTCAACTGTCACCAAGCAACAAGCTGTGAAACCTATAGTGTTCTTGGTCTCCATCCTGACAGCTTGGTGAGGGTCTAACTCACACCTAGTCCTGACAGGGACACAGAGAAGGTCTGAGTTGAAAAAGAATTTCAACAAAAAATTTCTGTTTTATTAATCATTCAAATGACTACTGGAAGAATTTGATCCAGAAAATGGAAAAGATCAGATCTTTAAGGAAGGAGTAGGGAGGAAAAATCCATGGCCAGTACAACCTCCAGCAGCACAGGGACCTAGAAAGGTAATGGTAAACAGAGACACAAGACTCTGGGTTCACTTAAAGAATAAATCATTTTTATATTTCCTATTACTGTTTATATATTGTTTCATTAGCTGCTAGGGAGAGCATCACCAGTAAAGCTTAAGCCAACAGTGCCTTTAACCCCCTTTTCTGATTTCTTCCTCTGCACTTTGCTGGCTCTATGGCTTTGTTTAGTCCCAAGGGCATTCTTCCTAGGCTTTGCAGTTACTGGGCCATATCTAGGTCAGAGTTTGTGCTTGAGTAAAGAACTGCTTGAATAATAAACATCTGGACTTCAACAAATAAAGATATTGGAGTGAAATAACAATAAAGACATTAGAACAAGTCATAAAAATCACACTATTAACCATTTATCTAAAAAAAAAAAAACCCACTATAATACCCTACTATAATACATGCAATTTTGTGTATAAATATACATGTTAGCTTCAGTTTTCTCATCTGGGCTCACAATGCTCCCTCCAAGGGCCAAAGACCACCTAACAGACCACCCAATACCAGACAGGAGGAGCCCTCTTTTAAGTTGTTGGTCAGGGCTGTCCAAGAGACACCCAAAACATATGACCTATTGCTATTGTCCTTGGTTACTCCCAAGGGGTGGAAGGTAAGTCTGTTGTGGGCAGTATTCCTGCCAGCCTGGTCTCACTGCCACGCCAGCCCCAAATAACACACAGAGACACTCACTGTATTAGATATAAAGCTGTTGGCCTATTACTAGCATTTCTTACTGGCTAACTCTGTCTTAAATATTGACCCATTTCTATTAATCTAAGTATTTCCATGTGGTCTTATCTTACTGGAGAGAGGGTCCGGAGTTCTTCTCAAGTCCCTATATCTTGACTCTCCACAAATCCTCCTTGTCTCCTAGTCCTGCCTATCTTGCTTTCCTATTGGCCAACAGGGATTTATTTATTAACCAATAAGAGAAACATATTTACAGAGTGACATCTCCCATCAGTAAGTCCCTGTTGCAGAAGACACCATGCACTTCAGAAACAGGGCTCAGAAGCCCCTAAGCTGAAACTGACCTCCTTGAAGACTAACTTTTATAGTACCAGAAGATGCCGTGCAAGCTTCCAAAAGAGAGAAGCAACCAGCAGTTGTCTATGAACCACAACAACAGCTAGCATGGTAAATAACCCAAAGGGCACAGTAGTGGCATGTATACCTTGGCAGTAACCAATAGCTCTCTAACTGGATTGAAGACCCACTCAGCAAGAAGTTGCCTGATACTAGAAACTTAATCAATTACTCAGAGCTGGTGAAGCCATGGATCTTGGAGGAGAACCTGTAACCACTACTTTACTAAACCAGCATAATCCCTAATAACTATCTATAAACATTTGTCCTTATACCCTCAGATAAGTGTAGTCTCCACTCCTCATTAAGGAAACGTTTCTTTGCAACAGATGGAGACCATTACAGAAAATCACAACCAATCAAAATGCAGAGATATAGAGCCCAGTCCAAATGGACACATCTACTAAGGCTCAAGGAACAATCTAGAAGAGGTAAAATATTTAGAAAGATTATAAAAGCCAGAGGCTAGGGAGTCTGCTCTGAGGTTGTGTCTCCTAGTAATGTCAAAAGCTACATTCAATAAAGTCTTATCAACATAGCAGCCCAAATGTCAACTGAACAAGGAAGATACCAATGGACATGCCACAGTGGATGAGGGAAAAGCCTCAATCCTACAGAAAGAAGTCCAGGCAACTGAGAAACTGCACTTAAAAAAAAAAAAAAAAGAAGCCATGAATTTGAAAAAGAGCAAGGAGGGTTATATGGGAGGGCCTGGAGGGAGTAATGGAAGGGAGAAACAATATGAATATATTATAATCTTAAAAATTAAAGAAAGATAAAGAACTCCTCAAAGCAAGGATCCAACTTCTTCAAGAGCAGAGCTCTCCCTCCCACTACTCCTTAAGATCTCCTGAGATGACATCCCGTTTTGAAAGCAGGGACCACTTTTCTGCAAGGCAGATAATTTCTAACTTGTTTGCTCAGTTGGACTTGAGTGAAACCACCCTCCCCACCAATTTCTGTCTTCCAGGTTGTTCTGCTACAGGTGGTTGGCAGAACTAGGCCCCAGTTGACTCTAGCTCATTCTTCTCCTGCAATGTTTCTTTGGTTTTGGAGGTGTTGACATGGATTTCTTATTTTCTTTCACTTGTGACTATTGGGTCATATTAACAGTTACCAGTCATAAGCAGTGGGATTGGATGGGTGTCTGCAGTAACCAGCACCCTCTGTGGAAATGACATTTCCCTCTTTGCTGCAGGCTCATGGCACTGGCAATCTATGGGTGCCTTTCCTTTTTCCTTTTAGCTATCAGACTGTTGTAACAAATGTTTCCAAGAAATTGGAGTTTTCCAGGATCATGATGGGATAAGGAAAGGTGGTGCCATCCAGAAGAAGACAGTATCTACCAGAAAAATACTTCACACAAATCTGACAATTTATCAGGCCACTTTGCACAAAATACTGAAGCCCAGATAATAATGGGTGGCACCTTATCTTGACTGGGACTGCTTAGCTATGCACACCTCTCTGGCCTCTGTTTAAGCTGAAATCTCCAGTTAGGATCCTGAAGATGAAGTAGGGGTGAGAGCCTGCTTGCTCTTCTTCATGGGGCCCCTTGCTCTCCCTAGCCACCGGTCTTTGCCTTGGCTCACCGTATCAGAAGTTCCTTCTTGTGGAGTAGAACTTAAATCTAGCCAGTAAGCTGTTGGTGATGCCCATAACAGTCATGCCACCATTGTGCCAGTGGACAGTTCTTATTTGGCAGGTCTAGAGTGAAGCACAGAGACTTCAGCCTAGTAGAACCACTGGTGACAAATTTCCCCCAGTAGCCTGTGTAGTATCTACAAAAGCTAGATATCAGAGAGCCTTCCTTTCCTAGGGTCTCTCTTTACCATTTCTCTAATGGCTGCCTCTTTTCCAGACTACTTGAAATCTTCTCTGAGACACTATTGTAACTCATTAGTCAATGCCACATAACACTCTATCGCCCTATTCCATAATCTACTTTAGCATAGTGCTATTTTAATTAATTCATACATAGACACATGTGCTCTGATCATATTCACTCCTAGTCTTCCCCTAACTCCTCCTTGATCCACCTTCCCCTACCTGAGTCCAATTTGTGCTGGTCAGACACTCAAGGGTGTGGGTTCATGCACTGGAGCATGAAATAGTACTTTGTTTTTAATTATTACATAGTGATTTATATTTTTTTGTTAATTATCCTGTCCCTTCATTAGTAGTAAAGTCTTGATGGTAGATACTTCAAATGCTTTTTTTTTTTTCCCTCAAAAGTAAAAACATTTTATTTACGTGTATGTGTGTGTCTCCATGAGTTTATGTGCACCATGGGTATGTGGGTGTCTTTAGAAGAGGGTTTCAGATTACTTTGAGAGTTACAGGCGGTTGTGAGTGACCTGATGTGGGTGCTGGGAGCTGAACCAGGTCTTCTGCAACAGCAGTTAGTACCACTAACTGCCGGGCCATCCCTCTAGCTCTCTCAATATCTCTAAAGATTAGAACAGTATCCAGAGCATGGTAGGATCTTAATAAGTGTTTTTGACATCCCCCCCACCTCTGCCCGAGTGTATACTAGGTGCTGGGCTGTGAACAGTGAGTCCCAGGCAGATGTACAGAGCATATATCATCTCCTGCCCTAGGGGCACAGTATACAGATTTAAAGTGTTCTGTTGCACCTGTGATCTTTCAGTGCAGTGATAGTAAAGCTGGGTCCTATAGTTGTGAAGTTCAGTGAGCAGTACAGAGTTAAAGAAGAATATAGTAATGAAGGACTTGATGAAAATTTCATTGCCTTATTCAACCAATAAAATGAACAGTTAAAAATGCTAACATATATGTGTAGGGGATGCTGATCAATGTTGTTGATTGTAAGTAACCAAAAGAGCTTTCAAAGTGCATCAAGGTTTAGAATTACCCTTTCAAACCAAGGCTGACCCAGAAGATGGACATACACAGGTAAGAGTGACTGACACTTTGGTTGAGGAGGCACAGTGGAACCTGTACTCAACCTACCAGACACCTTTCCTGACTCTTGTGTCT